TGTTGTTCATAAGACCCTTTCGACCACACCAGAGTTCGTGTTGGTGACTTCTGGAAAAACTCCAGTGATGGGGACTGGAGGGTTGGAACTTTCAACTCTACCCTACACACCTCCGAGAAGGGGGAGTGGAGCTGTATTTTGAATCAATCACCAATGGCTAACGATTTCCTCAGTCATGCCTGTGCAATGGAACCCCCCATAAAACCCAAAAGGACAGAGTTCAGAGAGCTACCAGGCTGGCAGACAAGAGCACACCCACATGCTGGCGGGTGGTGCACCCCATGTTCCCCAGGACAGAAGCTCCTGTGCTGGGGGCTGTTCCCAAACCTGCCCTGTGCACTTCCCTATCTGGCTGTTCCTTCATACCCTTTAAAGTCCTTTGCAATAAACCAATAATCTAGCAAGCAAACGGGTATCCTGACTCCAGTGAACCACTCCAGCAAATTAACCAAACCAGAGAAGGGGGTCATGGGAAGCAAGTTTGGTCAGTAAGGCAGGTAACCACCGGGATGTGTGACTGGCATCTGAAGTGTGTGTGTTACAGCTGCAGGACACCCAGCTGGTGTTGCAGAACCTCCTGGTGGGTGAAGAAGTGAAGAGTGACGTACCGAGAGTGAGGAGACTCACAGAATAGGTTTTTCCATAAAAACTTGGGAAACTAACCCAAAACAGGAAAAAAAATCATTCCCCTGAGTAAAGAAAAGGTGGTCAGACAGAGGCTTGAGACAGAAATCACCTTCTCAGCCAGGCTACTCGTCCATAGCTAGGCAACAACCAGCAGATGCACAACACCCACAGAAGTTCCAGGATGACACCAGCACAGACCTGCCCCTGACGTACATGCCAGCACTGAGCAAGGCCAACACAGAGCCATGGAAGCCCGAAGGCCATGATGACCCGGGGAATGGCCAAACATATTATGGGACAGGGTGGAAATCTGCATAAATGTTAAAAACAAAACACAAGTCTCCAAAGAAGTCTTCTGTTTGTAGTAAATCATGTAAGTGCACCCCCAAGGTGCTTCTGCAGGCCTCTATCCACCCTGCACTCATGGGGCCCGAGCAGGACACAGTTCCCAGGGAGACACCAACTTCACCAGACTGAGACATAACTGAGAGGATAGACTTGTCAAGGCTTCCAACTGCACAGGCTGTGGAGTGGGGAGCACCAGGGACAAAGGAAGGGAACGTGGCCATGCCCACAAGAGCGAAGGGAAGGGAAGCCACCACCACCCACGCGTGGCCCACCTGCTCACCAGCTCCAAGATTAACCCAAAATTAATGAATGCTTTAAAAATTCTCACATGTAAAACAGGGACAATCTGATCCACCCAACTGTCCCTTTTATCTTCCGTCACTTTTCCTTCTACTCCTATTACATAATTTCTCAACCCTATAGGGACAAGATGATGAGGTTCGGGCACTCTGAAAGCACACATCACACTCACCGCAGCAACCACAGTATCAGAGCAGGGTAGGAAGGGTTAGGGAGAAGCCAGTTTTCTTTAGGACTTCTGCTTGGTGGATCAGCACGCACCTCCTGGTTGCCAGCACACTCTGCTCTGCACCTGAAGCTCCACACACGGGGTCTCCCGAGACACACCAAGCACAGCCCACAGCCTGCTCTGAGGGGCACATGGGCTCCAAACTAACTGAGTCTGCACAGCATCTCTTATCTGCTTTCTGAACATGAGATTTGGCCTAACCAGCCCTCTGATGCACAGGAACAAAGGTTTGCTCCCATGCAACCCTGAAGATTTATCAAGCAACTTCCTCCTGGAAGTTTCTCTTTCACCGTCTTCAACGATATATCAAAACCATAAATATGTAGAGGTGACCCAGAAACAGGATGAGCTAAATGTAACTCAGTGTGGAAGCTAAGGCGGGGCACAGAGCCTCCTGGTCGTGCACCCTGTCCCCAGTTCCCCACTACGGAGGATACAGAGGAAGCCACACTCAGTTCCCATAAGCCTTGTGCTGTCAGTGATGCAAGGGGAAAGACAGGTACCTCTGGATGGTTCTGAACACAGCCACTAGGAAAATGACGGCGGTCTCGTCTGCAGAGCCAGCTGCTGAAAGCAGGTTCCCTGGAGGCATTGAAACTCGAGAGACAATTAGCTGCTTCTGCAATACCATGGGGCATTTTCTCACAGTGGCCATTACAGGTTCAAAGGGGCCAGGATTCGGGCTGAGGTATAACCCGGACGCCCTTGTCTATCATATGATTCAAACAGGATGAGTGGAAAATAAATTCAATGTAGAAATGCATGACAAATTTTCATAGCTACAGCTGTCAAACAAAAGCACACTAATCACCTCTTGCCCAAGGCAATTTTGCTCACTGAAAATATTACAGCCTCAAAAAAAAAAGTTACTCTAACATTAAAATCATGTGAAATTTAAAAACCAAAGGGTACTACAATTTATCTTTATTCAGCCAAAGATAAGTGTTTTTGTCAGGAAAGCAAACATTTTTCCAGACCCTGTATTTTCTTTAGTCCTCAAAGTGGAAAATGACAGCTTTTACCAAAAGCTGCTAACAGTACTTAACACCAGTCAAGGACAGGACTAGAGACATTTCAGTTTCCACTATTGTAGAAGAAAGCCACCAGAGCAAAAGCAGGCACAAGAAAAGCCACCACACTGAAAAGACAGAACCAACCACACTCACAGTGCTGACTGTGCTCAGAGAAGTCCAACCCAGCCGCAGATCGGGATGGCCCCAGTGTTTTATCCTAATGAAGCCGGGTCTGCGGGTGACAACTGTGTTATTCCAGCCATGCTGTCTTTCACGGTGAGGCAGTGCACTCTTCAAAGTAAACTCATTCCCTAATGATTAATTTGCTACTAAGACAAAGTATTCAAATACGCCTATCAAAGACCAGAAGAACTAAAAAGTAAGGTAAGCTATGAGAAAGATGTTAAAATCGGGGAAAATCTATGCAGGGGGACTCAGAAAGAAGCCACAGGTAACGGTGTTGGGGATCCTGAAACTTCTGCACTGGGAATGAACCTCCCTGCTGCAGCCAGTCACCGTGCACAGCAGAACGAGGACCTGACGTCACAGAGGCACGTCACCGGGAAAAGAGATTTAGATGAAGGAGCACAGGTCCCTAGGCACCGGATGTGCGCCAGGTGCTTCTGTCACCTCCTCCGACCCTCAATGCCCCTGCTGAGAAAGTACTTGCCACTGTTCCCACTGCAGGGCAGACAAGCAGAAGTGCAGAGCGGTCCACAAGTGCCTGAGGTACGATAACCCAGAGCCGGAGGTACACAATGAGGACTCTGGTGCCCAAACCTCCCAGGTCTCTCCAGAATCAGCGCGATGCAGGTGGCTCGACAGCAGTATCAGGTGGTCTACAACCCTAGAGGTACAAAGGACGACACTTCAGTACCCAAAACTTTCCAACTCTTTTTCTTTGAGATCTAATCCTTTTCTGATTAGTCAGGGGACCACATTCGGTAGGCTGCAACTCTCAAAGACAGGGGTCTACTATCCATTCTTGGCATTTGGTTTAGATGAGCTTTCTAAATTGGTCTTTGCATATGCAAAGCCAAGACATGAAGCTGGCTCAGCAAGGCTGCCCCATTGCTGACAGGCAAAGCACCACTGTCCTTTCTGCGCCAGATCACACATCAAGGGACCCTGGTCTGTGTATCAGAGTCACTCACGTGCAGCCTCATCAACCCTCGTCCACCTGCTGGCGAGCCACCGCTCAGTACCCTCCTCCCTTCAGGAGCCGACTATCCCACCTGAGACAAAGTGGCATTCATTCTCCTCCACTCCCTTCTCTTCATTCTCACTGCCTTTGCTCTATCTTCTCTTCCTTCACACCTCGTATAACCACCTTCATGCTATATACGTGCTTGTTGTCTGGTTCTCCCTCTTGGGTGGCAGGGGCAGTGCAGGAAACTCACTGAATGAAAAAATACCTGCACAGAAGCTTCCATAACATAGGGTTCCACCTGATGTGTGCAGACTGCACGGGTATATCTTTTACCTACAGTGCTGACTGCTACTTCGCCCTCAGCCTTTGCATGGCCCCTCAGCCTACAAATCACCAAGCCCTCAAAGCAGAGCAGTTCACCGGGCAGAGCCCTTGCCTGTCCTGCTCACCATGATGTCACCCAGCTAGGAGACTCAACAGATGAATAACAGAGTCTGGGAAGGAACTCAAAAATCATCCAACTTCTTCCCTTCACAACCAAAACCACTGAGGTCCTTCAATGTGACAGCACCCTAAGGCTATATCAATACAAAAAAGAAAAAAGAAAAAAAGCAACCGTAAAATGTGGAATAATATTTCACAGTACCGAACCCAGGGGAGGGCGTACAGTACAGAAGTATCTAAAAGTGAAGAGGCTGGAGCAGCAGCCGACCAGCTGCGGTCTTATATTTCCTCTTCTATAAAATGGGATTATACAAGCGCCTACCTGCAGTATGGTTATGACTCAAATAAAATAATTCCTGTAGAGCCCTTAGCACGGAAGCCCTCAAACAGTGTAAGCTATTATTACAGTGATGGAACTGGGCTCCAAAAACGATGAATAACAACTATGTTAACACTTTATAAAACTCCTTCATGTCCATCTTCATATAGGAGAGCAACTCTGCGAGACTGACAGAGCAGAGGTAGTACTACCGCTGAGCCCAGGAGGACACCACTTCGCAGTCGGAGCGAGTGCCCGAGAAGACAGGGCAGGTTCGCAGTGGAGCGAGGCTTGAACGCAGTGCACTCAACGTGGGGCTCCTTGGGGAGGGCAATAAGGAGGCAGGGGCAGCGGGA